CGTCCCACAGATAATTTCTTGTTTATACCTTCTCCCTCCCTCCTTTCAAGCGCATTGCTACGACCACCGTGTGTGTGGTGATTGCTCCACTGATAGTATTGAACTAAAACCATATTCAGCTCTATTATTTAACTGAATACGTACTAGAGGGCTGCATGAATGCATTCAAAACGGCTTTTGAATTATTCATATACAAAACGAATGAATGATTTTGGCTTGAAATTTTTTTGAATTTGTGTCGACATCACAATATTCAAACAAAGTGAAAATAAATTGAATTAAAAAAAAAAATGACAATTTTTTGTATGAATATCCAAAAATATTTTTTCTATGCACATATGTACAAACAAACAATGTATGTATGTACATATGTAATGCTGCGCTCCTATTACATACGAAAAAACTTGTTTGTAGAAAAAACCTTTACCGAAATGAGTTTGAGTGATTTGAATGTTTTCCATTCATTCATTCACATTCTTCCATTTGAAGGTAGAAAATATAAAACAAAATGTATATCATAACTTACAAAATTCCAAACGCTGAGTGTTTTGTATGTGGAGTAAAATATTCAAATCTACTGTACTCTGTTTGGCTAGAAGTTTGAATGAATTCATGCAGCCCTCTAATACGTACATATGTATGTACTTACATATGCATGTCGACATTTTTTGACATTGACTTTCTTATTTAAGGGGATCATAGACTCTTCGTAAAAGGCTTATTTAATTTTTATGGTTATTTTTAATTATTTGAAATTTAAATTAATATTACTTTCCCTTATTGCATTTTTGATTTAATTTTACTTTTTAAATTAATTTAAATATTTTATTTATTTGATTTTGCACTTTCACTACCGGTTTCATGAAAGTGATTTAAGGGAAAAATATTTTTTTTTCGTTTAGTTTTCATATTAAATTAAAAAAAAAAAGTGTAATGTGATTTAATGGTCCACAAGTAACCAGGTTATTCCTCTAATTATTAGTTATGTCAGAATATATTAGTTCAGATTAAAAATGTAAATGGCTGGGACCTAGGTTATTCCTCCAATTTCGTGCTTATTGAATTTTAATGGCAGGGAACTATGTCTTCATCTCGCCAGGTTATTCCTCCAATTTGATAATTTTATAATTAATCGTCAAAATATATTTTTAAGTTGGATTGAAAATTGTTTTTTATGGAACTGTACGATGCAGCTTATGTATGTTACTTTTTTATTTCACAGTTACTTTGTTCATACGATAGTACCGTATCAACGGTACGCTTTAACATGTTTCATTTAATTTTAGAATAAATTTTCTTATATGTCAACGTCTATTACATTACTTATGTAAATGATATTTTGTAGTATTATCTTGCTTTAAAATCTTAATATTGTATTTAATGAACCGACTTCTTTTTTGTGTGTATATTAATCAGATATTTGCTTTAACAAAACTCGATAGGTATACACGACCACAGTATATACAGTAATAAACCTTTTTCTTGAATTGTCTTTCTTTTAGCGCAACTAGATATTATGTAAAAGTGTAAGAATTCCTCTCCGAGACCAGCTAATGGTACTTCTTAAAATTTAAATCGCTTGTAAATAACAAAGGCAAATGAAAATATTGCCTAGTGAGTATAATATTTGTGTTCAACTCATAAACAGTGGCCTACGTCCCTTAGGTTAGGTTATGTTACATGATACTAGTCTAATTTTAATGACGATTTCAAATCTATGACTGAAATTTCTGTATAAGCTCTAGTTTACCCTACGTCTCCACCTTCTACAGATTCTGTTAAGAAAGCTGTGTTAAAACAGAAATGTCAGGTGGAGACCGCAGATTTCCACTGTCAAACCATAGCGTTCGTGCCGAATTTCTTACCATCGCTGTCTTAACATCAGCTGTCATTTCGTAGTTTTACAACTCAGTTTTCATTTTACCGCGCCATATACATTGGTTACAGATCAATCTGATTGGCTTGATGCCATTTTGAAAGTGAAATATTAGACAGCAAGTTGCCCACATAAGAAAACGGTACAATTTTAAAACATAAATTTGCAAATGGTAAGACATATTTAGTAGAAGGTGGAGACGTGGGGTTAGAAAATATTACACATGTCACTTTTGACAATAAAACACAACACATTCCACCATAAATACGGGGTTTTCAAATAACTCAACAGCCGCGCCACCTAGCGCATTTTCATCGGGTTCTGAGCTAAGTTTAAAGTTTCAAGTTGCTATCTAATCAGGAGGTTAGCTAAAAATTGATTGCAAGTTGCTATCTAATCAGGAGGTTAGCTAAAAATTGATTGCAAGATTTGATTACACACAGGTGAAACATAATAATAAATGCTTATAAAAAAACTTTCTTACAGAAGACGTCTTTGCAGAAGTTGGTGGCAGGGATCTGTTCTGAATGCTCCAACAATAGTCAGCCAACATGTGTGCGTTCTAGTGGCCTTGTTAGCGTTCCTCCATCGTATTAAGGTCCTAACCGAGTGAAAGCAACAACTCATAAACAAGAGCTAGGGACACGATATCGAACCGAAAGTATCGATATGGTACTCATTTAAAGTATCGCTTTAAAAATATCGGGTACCCATTAACATCGGAATAAAAAGACTCGATATTCCAAATATCGATACCAAAATCCAAAAAATGTATCTGAATATAAGTTTCCCATATAGGCCACTGGGGTGTAGTGGTTAGAAGTGCGCAACCCTTGAAAATGAAAAACAACTTCCCATAAAATACAATCGCCGTTCAGAGTCGACATAAAACTGTAGGCACCCCCTTTGTGCCACAACATTAAGGCCCTCGCGACAAATCGGAGGAGAAGTTCGGTCAAACACTAACATATTGTGTAAGCGCCGGACTTTATTATTATTACAACACGTAGAGGTTGAGGTGTTGACTTAAACATTAATTACAGTTTAAAAATGTTCATATTTAAATCAAGTGAAAAGTCTTAACCAAATGGATTTTGCCATTCAAAACTCATACCTTATGCATTACATTCGGACCACTTTTAGTACAATTCACCTGTTTTACATTACATTGCTTTATATTTTTGGACTATCTTTGGTCAATGTAGATACAAAGCTACTATACCTACGACCATGATACAATAATTTTTAGAAGGTAGTTTCACTTCAAAATTTTTGACATAAACCGTGTCTGTGACAAACACGCAATGTGGCCACTGCTACGATATGGAACTTGGGGATTATGGCTTGTTATTTTAGATATTTTTTAACAGAACATGTAAAGATTTATATGTTTCATAACTGATCACTTAATTTTTAATATAAATATACGTATTTTATACATATATTTTTGCCACTGCTAATCCCATGAATAAAAATCATAAAAATGAAAATATAATAGCAATATTTCTTGTTTATAATGGATTAGATCCATCGCACACCACGGACTTTATCGGCCGCCAATTTAGATGTGCTCGCTAGTCTTTCCATTGCACCACAACTTATTGGTCAGAGCGATTAAGCTGGTGTAATGTGCGCACCTCCATACATCTTCATGTACATATTTCAAGCGAGCCCTATCATTAAAAAGTCTGTGGTGTGCGGTGGCTCTTATAGCTATAGCCTTACATCTATTCCGTGTGTTGCAATATCCACGAAAGCAGCAGTTAATTTTTATGAAGAAAATTATTACAAAATATTCGAAAATTTCTCTACTTATATGTTTGGCTTTTCTTTGTTTTATTTTTCCAACGTCAAAAGCTGGATTTTTTTTTTGAAAAAGTTGGTACAACAAAAAATACGAAACACGTTTTCTGTCAGATACCTAACATGGCGGATAAGAAGAAGAAGTGAAACTACCTTCTAAAAATTATTGTATCATGCCTACGACTATATTTTTCGACCGATTGGACCAATCTTTCCTTCAGGGATAATGCACTAATCGCGCGCTATGATGTTGATTCAAACTCAACATTTGAAAACACCTTTACATGTATGGCTGTAGCTGAGTGTGCAAAGACGCTTGATACAATTAGTTGCGGCCAAGAGGGTCCGGGTTCAATTCCCATCAGACCGAACATAAAATTAATTTTTTTTCTTCTTAATTACGAAAAAGCATCTGTGCACTTCACAACCACGTATATACTCAAATTTAAAACGAGTTGGGTTGGTGCTCTTTCATATGCGTATTTTTTTCAATTTAGCACGTTTTTTTTAAATTCTAAAATTTTTTTCCCTCAGTGTTGGAATGTGAGTTTATGACATTCGATACGATACTAGGGTTCTGGTACTCGATTCCAAAAAATATCGTTTTAAAACTATCGAGTAGAAAATATCGGTATCGAATGCCAAAAGTATCGATGTGGTATCGTATCGTATCGAAATTCGTGTCCCTAACAAGAGCTGCTAGAAAACAAATTTAGAATCAGTAGTTCGCTAAGCTGTCCCTACGAAAACTGGTTTTTACCGTGCAATCTGTGCACCGTGCAAGGGCTTTGCAAGACTTAGAGAATACCCCTAGTGACATCAAACTATTAAACAATGCAAAAGTGCAATTTTGTTAGCCAGTGTTATATCTTGTTCTCTCAATATTTGTACACATTTATGTCCCTTATGCGTTTACGCTCACTTAATCTGCTTAATGACAGCTAACAATTTCGCAAATATTGCGGACGTATTTCATTTATTTATATGTACCAACGTTTGGGTTGTTGGAAAAAATTGCCTTTTTTCGCATGTCAATTTAATAAATATTTAAATACATAAATATTTAATAAATAAAGGTTTTCATGTGTAAACGTACATACATACATATGTGTGCACATATATTTTTGTGTATGTAAATATGTGAGTTTATATGAAGATTAATATGTTTACATGAATATACGCATAAAATATTTAACACAATTTATATGTAAATTTGCATATGTATATGCAAATATGCTTCATAGTAACACTTTTTCATGCAGTTCGCTTTTTGTTATGGTACTACTTTTTCACCACACATATTTTATTTGTTTCATTCCAGGGGCCTTCCGGTTGTACGATGTTGACAATGACGGTTACATAACTCGCGAGGAAATGTACAATATTGTGGATGCCATATATCAGATGGTGGTAAGTTCGGGTGGCAAATGTTGATATGTAAATATGTATGTAAAAAAATTGTTGAAGAGCAAATAAATATATGTACATACATACTTATCTAATATGCTTAAATACTCGTACATATATAGATATGCAAGCTTAACAGTAAAAGTCTATGTGCTTTGGCAAAAAGTCATTTTAAAATATTTTGTATTATTTTAATGGCTTAGTAGTTAAACGAACTTTGTTTGTGAGTTGAGCAATGCAACCACAAGAATTTTAAAGGTTTAAACACATAGGCGATATGCAAGTATGTAACGTGCAACAAAAACTAAAAAAAATCTTTAAACGCAGGATTGACTCACGTTTGGTAAATATGGTAAAACTGCGTTTTTCTTTTACTCTCTGACGTCGCAGTTTGTTTTAAAAGGACTTTGAAATTTCAAAGATATGTTTAATCAAAAATAGTACAATGAAGAAATCAGTGCATGTAGAATAATAATATCAGTTCCAATCGAAAGAGCAAATTCTGCAGAAAAAATATTTGTTTTTGGATATTGAAAATGTCAATTTAATTAATAAATTTGTTGATGCTAATAAAGTGAGAACGACGAAATGAGACGAATTAATTTTTTTTTTTTTACAAGTAAATAAAGCAAATTTTCAGGGATTTTCAAGGATATAGTTTTTAAAATTTTCTATAACTGTTCGTTCTTTTATTTGATGCCTATATTGGTATTCCTCAGTGTACTAAATTTTTTTAATAGTGTTTTGAATTCATCGCATGTTTGAAATTTTAAAGTCTTTTAAGAAAAATCATAACGTCGCCGCACAGTGTTTCGTCTATATAAAGGCAGGTGGAACAAAGTCATGGTGGCAGTTGATAAATAACACCAGCTGGGCTTAGAGAGGGAAAAGGAGATGTCATAAATACAGAATTTTCACTCTCATTTGTTACCCCTCTTGTTATTCTACATTGCACTGATTTTTTAAAATAATTATTTTAATTAATCATATCTTTAAAAATTCCCAAAAAGAAAAGCCTGACGTCAGAGTGAAAAATTAAAACGCAGTTCTACTATATTTGGTCCATAGTTTCGTGAGTGTATGGATTCTTTCGTATGTTATGAAATTGTTTTGGTTTTGTCGCACGGTGTAATATGTTAAAAAGGTATGTTAGGTAAAGTCTCCTTGCCCATATGATTATGATATTTAAACTGGGACTTTTTTACTCTACAAACAGTTTTTGTTTTTCAAAACATGTTTTTTTTTTCATTGGCCAACGGTTTGCGAGCTTTGACAGCTAAGTGTAAATAAATTAAATAGTGGGCCCTTTTTTATAAAATCTCATCCTTTTGAAAGGCTTAAACTAACAGCCCTATTCCCTCATCATTGACAAAAATTCATCGTATGACCATTGTCACAATTACTGCGCCTAAACCACAATATAAACGTTGTTTCACCGCTGTCGCTTACTCAGTAGGTCATAATAATAACAGTGACAATTGTCACCATTAGAGCGTTGAGTTTTGTCATTGGCGTGCGAATAGGGCTGTAAAATACTGTCTACTACATTAACTTCTTCTTCCTAAAAGTATGCTATAATTTTTCTTTTCTTATTTTTCTCCAATTTCCACAGGGCCAACAACCGCAATCGGAGGATGAGAATACGCCGCAGAAACGTGTTGACAAAATTTTCGATCAAATGGATAAGAATCATGATGGTAAATTAACATTAGAAGAATTTCGTGAGGGTAGTAAAGCTGATCCACGTATAGTTCAGGCGTTAAGTTTAGGTGGTGGTTAAGACAATTAAAGTAAACGAACGAACGCAAACGAACAGTAAACCTACATTAAAATTAATAGCATGCATACTTATACATAACAAAAAAAAAAGGACTTTTTAGGACGAGGACAGCGACAGCGCGCTGAGGGCAGTTTATAAGATAAAACATTTTACATACATTAAAAGTTTAGCTACAATAGTTTGTTATACATCTTACGAAGTCGGGGTTTTTATATTAGATCGAATAAGAATTTTGGAAGAAAAATTGGTTTGGGCAGCTGAATATCTATGAATGTCCTGCTGAAGAGAAAAAGGGAACTAAGAAATTCTTTTTTTTCACAACCCAAGCTATTTTTATGCTACTCGTATAAATTTTCAATACTTTAAACGAATTTAACTTCGTTTTCGTTTCAATACTTCTTACTACAACAATTAAGTACTTGGCACTTTTCAAAAAAAAAAAAACTTTTTATTCGAAGCATAGATTAAAAATAAATACTCAAAAGCATAAAGAGAAATTTAATAATTTTTATTGACGAATATATGAGATAATAATTTTTTTGCAATTAAATTTTTAATATTAGCGTTAAGCTAAAAAATAATAGCAAAAAAAAGAGGAAAAAAGTTTATTGAAAGAAATAAATGCGTTCATTAGTATGTATAAATTATACAAAAAGTAATTGGGCAGCGAAATAAAAATAAATAAATAAATAATTTAGCAATATAAAGCGAATACACCAACTAATAGGTAAATAGAAAAAAATTAAAAAACAACAAAAAATTAAAGCTCATAACATAACATTGTTTATATGAAAACGAGAGTGTTTAGTGAGGAAAAAGTCATAAAACAAGCCTTCATTATATTTATGAAAAAAAACCAAACAAAAAAAGATATTCGAAACTAGTAAAAATAAGTAAACATCAATTATAAAATAAAATTACATATGCATTTTTAACATTAGCAATTAGCCTTATTGCATATTAGCACGGTCTTATGGCCTACATATTCCTTACGGTTGAAAATGATGAAGTGGAGCGAAACTTTAAGCTACAGTTAGGCGTTAGGATAATTACGAGTATGCAATAGCAAATTAAATGGGGTCTGCAAAATTTAAAAAAATATTACTATATATTTAAGTAAATTTACAAACTCGCGATGGTCCTTAAAGGAATTTTTGGTGTAAACTAAAAAAAAAATTCGAATTCTTCTCAACTTTTGATTGCACAACACCTTGGAGCGCATCTTTTTAGTGATGGGTAACTTATCTTTGAGCATAGTTATCGAGCTAACTCCTAGCAGTGTGTAGCATGCTTACACTCACTTCAAAGACAATTTGAGTCAGGAGTTTAGTACTGATGTCTTATAGCCTATTTCCACCAAAAGCTTAACAGCAGTTAAAAGTGCAGAGTGATCGCCAAAGTTTATTATTTTCATGCAAAATTTAGTTATGAAAATATAGTCCATTCTATAATATAAACCATATAAATTAAGGTTTCACACTTTAAAAATTTTCAACTTTTTTTCAGAATTCCACAAAAAAAAATATTCTCAAAAGTATTACGATATTATAGCTAGTTGAAACTTGCGCTTCATTAGACTAAAATTGAATGACTATCAAAACTGCATACCTGAGTACTAGAAATTCTTTTGAACTTTATATAAAAAGTGAAACTTTGATTAGTATGAACTATAGAATGAACTACACATATTTTCATAAATAATTAATGAAAAAATATTTTATAATTGCGAATATTATATAATAACAAGGTGAACACTTTCATTTGTCACCTAGTGTAAATCTTTGTCTGATAAAAATTCAAAGAGCCAACAATATTGCTGATCTTAAGGTTAGGTGGCAAAACAATGCACAGCGTGTAACAACGTGTGAGAAATTCGATTTTCGCTAGCAACTTCTGATATTTTTAACCGAAATAAGTTCTGTATAAAGCATACATAAACATTTGTTTAGCGTGCTTTTCTTTTTGGAAAATGACTACAGTTTGTATTTTATGGTATGTCGAGCAAAGCACCGAAGCAAGGACTTATTCTCTTAAATGATTATTTTCGAGTTAAACTAGAGCAGTCGCATTTTAGAAATCGCTACTACTTACCGCGATTGTCAAAAGTATGCAATGCCTAAAAGTATGCAAAGGCAATACGAAATCGCGTATATGTAAAGTGTTGCCATAGTGATTTTTGGGAAGTTCTTGCAAGAACCTACTTTGCCAATACATAGCCGTTCTCGGGAATAGAGAATGTCTTATGGCATATTAAAGTAAACGAGTATGTATTTTACGTAACTTAACCTTTTATATTGGCCAAGGCATATATTTTTAAATTTTTTTGTTGTGGCTTATAGGCGGCAAAGTGGCAATCAGCTGAAAAGGAAAATACAAAAAAAAAAAAAAATTTCGCTTCTGGCTAAGTTGACGTCTAGAGTAATAAGTGATAACTAATCAATTTCTTACTCTTCTTGCCGTATAAGTTCTAGTTCACACGTCACCTGAAGCCAACTGGTCATTCACAGTGTCGCTGATTCAAGAGAGCATTAATATACTCATAATTTCTCACCGAGTAGATCTCATTTGGCCGCCGAGATCAGGTGATTTCACACCTTTAGAATATTTTATGAGGCAATAAAAAATTGTTCAGTGCAAAGAGCAAAGAAAGTAGCAATTTTGAAACAAATCGAATTCGCCGTTCCAGTTATTAAATGTTACGTAACAAAAATTTGTTAAAAAAAAATTAACGCAAATACAAAACCGATGCTCAGTCTAGCTTAAAGTAACCTGCGGACTACTCTTCCATTACCATTGGGCACAGTGCCTACTCACAATTTCTTCATTGAATTGATATTTTTTTGGAACAAGCCAACCTCTCACTGAGTTGTGGTGTTTTCTTTTCTCGAAAATAGTAACATTCTTATTGGTCAACATTATTAGAATGCACCATGGACTTTACCTTGGATATTTTATTTTTTAAAATTTTTTTTTTAGAGCACTCCGTTTCAAAAATGACAAATTTGAAATTGAGTCATTTCTGAAGAGCCTGTGCCAGACATTAAGAGCTCATCACTATGAAAGTATGATATAAGCATATCGGAGTTTACTTCAAGCCGTCGGCATTGGTCGAACACAGTAAATTCCTACTCAGAAATGT